TTTATTTGGTTCCGTTTTATGTGTGTGTGTGTGTGTGTGTGTGTGTGTCTGTGTGTGTGTCTGTGTGTGTGTGTGTGTAACAGAAATCGTTTCAGAGGAGTCATAAAAGCAGAGTCTTGATTAAAGTAGTGTGATCATAAATAAGCAAGAAGAATTAAAGACAGGGAACGCTGACTCCTGTTTTGAGAAATACCAAAAGAAAAGAATGAATATGAAGTCACATAATATTTTGGAAAAGAACATTAGGCCACCAGGAGACTTAGATTTGGGCCCCTGATTCTACCACTGATAGATCTTACTCTAGTCCCTTAACCACCCTCTCTTGACTCACAACCCAACGTTCCTTCACGTATACCATATATTCTCCCTCTCCACTTCTTGAAAAAAATTTTAAATCTCTGTAGCATAAAGTGCTCACACGCTCTTCTGTGCATACTGGGGGAGTTCATTGAAATGAGTTCCTCACAAATGAGAGTAGGCAGACCCTTTCATTGTACATATGACATGTACAATTATACATATGACATGCATAATTCTGTCGGTTAGTAATTGCCCATCCATTCTCCTGATTCATTCTAAAAAAGATTTATGATGGCCGAAACTGGTTTGGCTCAGTCGATAGAGCATCGGCCTGCGGACTGAATGGTCCCGGGTTCGATTCCGGTCAAGGGCATGTACCTGGGTTGCGGGCACATCCCTAGTGGGGGATGTGCAGGAGGCAGCTGATCGATGTTTCTCTTTCATCGATGTTTCGGACTCTCTATCTCTCTCCCTTCCTCTCTGTCAAAAATCAATAAAATATATTAAAAAAAAAGATTTATGATGGATGTCGAATCAGAGGGCTGAAAGGGCCTCTAGAATCCAATCCTGTCCTTAGACAGATGAGGCAAACTGGTAACTGGATCACATGGTAAGTTACTGACTGAGCTGCTTCCAGACTCGGACCCCTGGCTCCTGACTTTGGATCAGTGTGTCATGCCGCTCTCCGAAGTCTGCTTGACCACCTAGTGCCAAAGGGCTTTCTTCTCAGAGCACTGGTTGTATCTGCTGTCTCAGTATCCCATTCAGCACTTACTTACCGTTTCATCTTTTTAAGTTAGCTTTTTATATGCTTAGGCCCCCTCTCCAAATAGACCGCCGTTTCCTCAAGGACTAGGTTAGAGATTTCTCTAGGCAAATAGTAGTAGATGATGTCTGATCCTGATCAAGTTCCTCAACTTCTATTGACCTCAGTTTCCTACTTATAAAATGGAGATATGGATTAAATCCAAATACAATATCATTATAGTTAAAATCACTTTATAACAAATCCCACCGCTGGCCTACTTTTTCCCTCTAACCATCTTCATGACAACATTTTAGTTCAATAAAATAATATAAACAATATTATATATAACTCATCTCATCAGGATTGGACTTATAAAATTGGACTTGCTTTATGAACCACACAGGGATATTGTGGGATAGGAAAACATAAGTATCTGAAAGCATTTGAGAATGGGAAGAGCATTATTCAAAGAGCAACAACTCCTTAGCGGTCATGACAAGAGAGATATTGCTAATGTACTTCTTAGCAGGATCATTCTGGATGGGCAGAGGGGGTGTGCTGGCAGACACCTGACGAGTTTTAGAGTGCACTACATGGAGATGCAGAGTAATTGGCTTAGAGGAGAGAAGAGATGACCTGAAAATGCTTTCAAACACAGTTACTAGGTTATTATAGCAGAGACATTTCTGTATCAATATGTTTGTGAAGAAGTAATGGAAGAAACTGTAGCAGAAAACTTTAAAGCACCAAAAATTGCACTGTGCCAATTATGAAAAGTTTGTTTCTATTTGTATTATGTATAAATTATTTAAGATACATAATTCAAAACTTCTTTAAATTTTTATTATGCCTAAATTACTATAACATTTTTTCACCCTATTACTAGAACTTTATGTTTTTAAAAAATATATGTTTTTATTGATTTTTAGAGAGAGAGGAAGGGAGAGGGATAGAGAGATAGAAACATCAATGAGAGAGAAATATCATCAATCAGCTGCCTCCTGCGTGCCCCCTACTGGGGATCGAGCCCACAACCCGGGCATATGCCCTGACCGGAAATTAAACCAGCAACCTCTTGATTCCTGGGTCGATGCTCAACTGCTAAGCCACATCAGCCAGGCTGTCTTCTTTTTTTTTTTTAATTCAAAATTATGTTCCAAGATACTTAGAAATCTTCAAGAGAGGCATTCACTAAATGCTCTGTGTCTTGGACTTGTATCAACGCATTGCTCATTGTGAAATAGTGTGCGTTTCAGTTATTAATCTCTGATGATTCACACTTGTCTTTCTTCCTGGTAGGTAGTCCCTGTGTAGCCCAGATTTACCGAGTGTTAAAAGAGAGCAGCTAAGTGCTGTTCTCATCAACAAGCTAACTTAGTGTAGGTGACTAAGTCCCATACTATACTTCAGAGCTAGAGATATCAGGTTCATTGGAGAAGTTACCAGCTGAAACCATTTTTTGTTTATCGCCCATCAAAATCTGTACGTATTTTATGATAGGGCAACCAGTGGCCTGTTGTTTTTAGCCTATGAACTAAATCAAATCAAGTTGACCCCTGAATGATGAGTGATTATTTAGAAAAATCTTATGTCATAAGAAAATTTCCAAAATGTGCTTCTATTAGGGAAAGTTAGTGACAATTAAGATTCATCATTAACTTACATTAATAATCAAGAATATAAAATATATTTCCCCAGCTGGTGCAGTTCAGTTGGTTGAGCATTGTCCCAGGCACCAAGAGGTCACTGGTTCAATTCCTGGTCAGGGCACATATCCTGGTTTTGGGCTCAGTGCCCAGAATGGGGCGTGCAGGAGAAAGGATGATGTGTCTCTCTCATCCATGTTTCTTTCTCTCTTTCTTCCCCTCTCTCTCTAAAATCAATTTTCCAAAAATATTAAAATATATTTTGCTGTTTTAAAGTTGTAAAAATATGGAAAAGGAAGAGAAATAGAAAAAAAGAGGTAAAAAACATTCAAGGTCTCGCAACACAAAAACTATCTTAATGATACTCCCATATATTTTCTTGCAATAGTTTTCTATATGTTTTTCTAACTTTTTAATGAAAATTTCAAACATACAGCAAAGTTGAACGAATTTACAGTAAACAACCATCTACCCAAACCTATACTCTACTATTAACATTGTACTGTACAGTGTACTTTGACACATATCTATGCATCTACCCCATCATCTGTCCATCAAAATCCACCTTATATTTTAAATTTATTTAAATGTAATTTCAGACATTAGCATGCATATCATTAATGTTCAGTATTTTATATAGTTTCTTCTTTTGAGGTAAAATTTATATACAATGAAATACAAGTCTTAGGTGTATAATTGCTAAGTATTGACAAATACATACACTCTTGTAACTCAACCTCTATAAAAATTTCATTTTGTATTTTTTCCATGTAACATTATGATGTATTTTCCTTCTTATTATAAATCTTTGTAAGTGTAATTTTTTTAATCACCCAAGGATATTTTTTTCCATTAATTTCTAGAGAGAGTGGAAGGGAGGAAAAAGGGGGAGATAGAAAAATATCAACATGAGAGAGATACATCAATTAGTTGCCTCCCCGACAGGCCCCTGCCCAGGCTGAAGAACCTGCAACCAAGGTAGGTGCCCTTGACTGGGAATCAAACTGGCAGCCCTTCAGTCTGAGGGCCAATGCTCTAACCATTGAGAAAAGATGACCAGGGCTGTAAGTGTAATTTTAATGGCAATATCTTTTGATATTTTAAATTTAACATTTTGAGTTGGAAGTTTCAGTAGATGTTTTTCAAGTAGTTAAACCTATTGTCTCATTAACATCTCTTTCTTTCCTTCTTTATTAATGTGAATTGATCCCCATGTAATTCTGATCATCTGGTCTATTTCATTGATTTTTCCATACATATTATGACACTTTCCATCATCATGCCTTTATACTCCCCAAAAATATCAATATCCAAAATTAATGTTAAATTCCTGCATTAAACAAAATGGCTTTGTTTCAGCCTCTGGGATGAAACTGGGACCCAGTGCCTGAATATCCGTGGGTCCAAAGCTTCCACTGTTGTGTTTTGAAGATTTTTCAATTGTAGACTGCCAGACCCAGAAGTTCAGAAAAAGCACTATTTCTTCCTTCTTTTGTGTGTGTGTGTGTGTGTGCCCCTTTCTTTTTTTTATTAACTTTATTATTGACACTATTATAGATGTCCCCATTTCCCCCTGTCTTTGTCCTGCCCAACCCAGCCCCGGCTCCTACTCAGCACCCCCCTTCCCTCTGGCCATCACCACACTGCCGTCTGTGTCCATGGGTTATGCATACATGTTCTTTGGCTAATCCCTTCACCTTCTTTCATCCAGTTTCCCCCACCTCCCCTCTGACAGCTGTCAGTCTGTTCCATGCATCCATGCCTCTGTTCCTATTTTGTTCATCAGTTTATTTTGTTCATTAGATTCCACATATAAGTGAGATCATATGGTATTTGTCCTTCTCTGACGGACTTACTACTGTTTCTTTCAAAGGCCAACTTATGGATCCCAGACTTGTATATATTTCCTCTTCTTCCTTGTACACTTTTTAAAAATATATTTTTTTATTGATTTCAGAGAGGAAGGGAGGGAGAGGCAGAGAGAAATAGAAATATCAATGATGAGAGAGAATCATTGATCGGCTGCCTCCTGTACGCCCCTCACTGGGGATCAAGCCTGCAACTCTCACCTTTTTGTCCAACAGAGGTAGGAGTGGGCTGGGGAGTTGGGTGCTCCCAACTGCTGTCTTTCCTGAAGCACAGCTCTGTGCCCAGACGGCCCAGGAGAGATTGCTGCTCTGTCAGGTACTGCCGCCCTGACCGGTGTTACTGTTCAGGAAAGGATTCAGGTTTCTCTGGTTCGGCTCATTGTTACTTCAGCTTTTGGGTTCATTATGATTCAGTGCAGATTTTTCTTTTTTTAACAGGAAACAAAGGAAAAAAAGAAATTCTGCAAAATTTACATAGAGGACCTTGTGAAGGAAGCCACAGAGATCAGCATGAAAAAAGAGGCCCTGCAGAAGCTTTGGCCACAGATGTTCATCGAGCTTGTTAGGGATGCCGTCTTGGAAACTCGCAACAAAAATTCCTACATGAAGCTTTGCCTACAGCAGATAGCTGACCAAAAATAGAAATGGCTTTATAGTTACACTTTTTAGCAGTTTTTTGTTCTTGAAGGTCGAAAACGTGTAGTTCAAACAAGTTAAGAAAACAACAACACTATCCTACAAACTAGGATGCATCACTATAGCTCAAGTCAGGACGGAAAGAAGGAATAGAGAGAGAGGCAAGCCCAGTTTCCTGTACGCGGTGACCAGACCACAGAGCCAGCTCAGCTGGGAGCAGCACTGCGCTCCCCTCCTGCTGGGCTGGTGCGCCCTGCTGCCGCCCGCCCGGCTGGAGTGTTACTCAGGTTCAGTATGAGTTGCTTCTACCATCTTTCAGCCGATAATTTCCAATTATTTGCCTTCCTGTTTTATGTCATGATTTCAAAGCCAAAAACATGTTATTTTGTATAAGTTTATTATTAAACGTATTAATAAATTAGTAAACAACGTATGTTTGCCTCATTATTCCATCAGAATTGTCATTTTCTTGTATAGTTCCCCCTTCAGCTGAGTCGGAGCCTTCTTTTCACTCAGGTGGGAAGAGGCCCTCATCTAGGAGATCCGAGGGCCACTGGGGGCCGGAAATACGAAAATGAGTCAAAACCAGCAGGAAAAAAATGCTTTGTCTTAAGGGATCCTTCGTGAATGTGAAATGCAGCTTCAATTCGGCTTCTCTGAAAGGTGTTTCCTTCTCCTGTTAGCTATTCTTGGGCTCTTTTTCCGGCAGGCTGTGTACCTGTACCCCAGGAGTAGTAGGGATTTACAGGTGAACGGTTCCAATTTCATTTAAAGACCAAACGGGGAAACAGGTGGTAAGCTGGGGTTTGTCCATGTTTGTGCCACTCAGGAG